ATACTGAATTGTGACATTCTGAATTTTTGGAAATGACATGAAAATGTAACACAGACTCAATGGAGGTGAGTTACTGTGTGTTCCCATCCTCAGGTTATGCCAGCTAGATGAAGACAGGGCCAAAACTACATCCCCTTGTAGAAGCAAAACAAAATATTACACTATTGTACTGGCTTTACATGGGCATAGCAGGATTCTTGCACTGACCAAACATTCTGCCAGGATAAACCTGATGGTAGGAAGAGTCTGGCATGGCAGGTGGGAAAACTGGTGGAGCTGACAGTGTGACTAGAACAAGGTCCTCCTTAGGAGAATTAGAGAATTCTGCTCCCAGTTATGGGTTTACACCTGCAAACTAAGTGGTGTTAGTAAAACTACTCCAGTTGTCTCAACGGAGAGCCCTGCATAACAGGATGGAAGTATGAACTGAGTAGGATTATGGGAGCTGGGCAAAATGAAACTTGTCCGTGGCTGTTCTAGTCCTTACTCCTGTGAACGGACAGCCAGGATCAGATCTTGACTCTTTTCTGCATTGAGCCGGCACGGCCTGTTCTGCCGGGTTAGGCAGGGCTCGGTGTGCCTGGGAGCCGTGGCTGCCATGCATGGGGCCGGGCCATGCCCTGGACTCAGTATGCAAGAGGGCGCCAAGTGTTTCTCTTCTGGCTGCTCCTGTGACTTTTAGAAGCATCAGTCTCTGGAGCAGAAGCCCAGGATTCTGCTCCTCCTTTCCCTCCCTGTTCCATCCCAATTCAGTGCTGATGGCCGGATGGCCAAAGGGCACCCTTTGCCGTGGGTGGGCCACACTGGTATTTCTTCTTTTCCATTGGATGGCACTTTTCTCAGAGTGAGCAGCTGAGTCACCATGTTGTTCCTTGTGAATTTACATCAGAAGGGAAGAACCATGGCCCTCCGAATGTTTTTGGACTCTAACTCTCAAAAACGGGGAAGCAGCCCTAGGATGGGTAAGAAATTTGTTGTATTTGCATTTGATAAACCAGAGCGCAGCCTTGTCCGAATCTATACATTTCCAGTATGGCCTAGTGGTTAGTGCTGGAGTAGGATTTGAGAAATCTGGGCTCTAGTCTCTACTCTGCCCTGACATTCACTGGGTGACTTTGAGCCAATCACTGACTCTCAGCCTAACCTACCTCACGCAGTTGTTGTGAGCATAAAATGGAGAGGAAGAGAACTTTGTGAGCTATTTTGGGGTCCTTGCAAGAGGAAAAATGGTGGGGTATAAATGTAATGCAATAATAATAATTTTCAAAGTTTACAGCATAGCTGGAGGAAGGGGACATGTGCAAATTAAATACATTCCCCAAAAATGCTCACAAAAATGTATTGCATTGGAAAAATGAGAACCAAAAGAACATCGAGCGTGACAGATTCTTTCCCCCGCCTCTCAAGACTGACAAGCTTCTTCTTCTCACAATGGTTGTGTGTGTGCATGTCCATCTGACAAACGATGGAGGATACACAGTAACTGTTGAAGTACTTGCTAATCATAAAACATCAACAGGACCCAGCATCAAAGAACAGGCATCAACCAGGAATGCGATCCACAAGAACCTCTTCCAAAATCAGATTTGTAATGGATGCCACAATTGTCATCCATTATTGTGGGCTGTTACTTTACAGAGCAGGGTGGTCCAACATGTGGCCCATGGGCCACAAGCAGCCCCGTGGCTTGTTCTGTAGCCCTCTTACCACTTGGAGCCCCCCCAAGCTCCACCCGCAGTAGGGACCCCAGTGATGACACAGGCGTGATGGTGGCAACCTCCCCCGAGGCCGCCAGCCCAGCCCGCTCTCTTCCCGAGACTTGCTGGCAGGCTCGCAAGAGCTCCAGCTGAGCAGGAGCAAAGCAGGGCGTGCTGGGAGAGCTCACCGGCTCAGGTGCAAGAGGCTCCGCACGCCAGCTGCAAGAGCGAAGGAGGGCTGGGTGGGGTTTTCAGAGGGAGGAACAGGGAAGAAGGTGATGGGCCATGCCAGAGGAGCAGCATTTTGTCTCATTCAGTGTAATTCATCATGCAGCCCCCAGATTCCATGCCAAAGCCCTCATGCGGCCCTCGAGGTGCAAAAGCTTGGACCCCCCTGTTACAGAGCCTTCACGTTACTGGGAAATAAATAAATTAATAACTACATAATATTTGGCCTTCAGTTGGTGCAAAGTCCCTGTTGGAAGACTCCAGAAGAGTGCTGGGAAAGGGCCACTGCTCAAAGCCGTAGAAATCCTTATAAACCTTCAGGTGTTTGACAACTGACTTTGAATTGCTCCCAATATAGTATCTAACTAGCAACAATGAGGGTCTGATGCAGTTTGAATTAGCAAGTTTAGCTGAATGCAGGACTGGCACTGCAGTACATAGAGGGGGCAGCCCGCCTGGCACAACAGATTCTGAGGATAGCAGATCCTTTCATGAGACCTGCCCTTTGTCCCCCAAACTGGGCTACCGTTCTCAGGTGAACCAGAGGATGCTGCCCCGGAATTGCTTGTCTTCCTCTCCCCTCCTCCGCCCCATTCCTTTAGGGTCATGTCTTTTAGATTCGAAGGCTGTGAGCAGGGACTGTGCCTTGTTTCAAATGCTCTCATGGAAACTATCCTGAGAGCCTTAGAGGCATGTTATTCCCATATCACTTCAGATTCTACTATTAGAGCACATTGCTCCTGCAATTGGGTGAAGAATTAGTTGCCATATTTATTTATGTGTTTACTTTACAGAACTGCATGTGCGCATTTGTTTTCACTTGGCTGGGGAAAGGAGTGGCTTAACTGCACAAAGTTGCCCATTGAAATTGCTGACTTGCTTGCAAAGTCTGTGAAATATTACAAACCCTTGTTCCCCATTGCAAGCACCATCCAGCATTATGATTATTATACACAGTGCCATGACATGCCATTTTTGTTCCTTATTCAAAACACAGGCGGGGCAGCTACTGTGCAGAGTGCACAACATTTCGCATGCACGAAGCAATCCTTTCATTTCTGTTTCAACCAGTTCGACAATCATTTTGTGAAAACCTGCTCCTACATTTGTTTCACAGCTGCGAAGGGGTGATGCATGCTGCTCCCAAGACTGAGAAACTGCAGATATTTGTCACAGTCCTAAAACATGTTTGAAAACCTGCAGCTTAATCGGGTCATTTTATCATAGCTGCAACAATGCAGGTTCATTTTGCTCCCAAAATTGAAAAATCACAGATATTCATCACATCCCTACTTTGGCCACAGTACCAGGAAAGCTCTGACCTAAGGAAAGGAAAAGTTCTTCAGTGCCAGCTGCCCACCAGCTCTCTTGCCTGAGAAACAGGCGGCCCAGTTTTGAGCATGGACGAGTCAATTGCAGGATTGCTCTCTCGAACCACACCAATCTATTCTCTCAATGTGGGGTGGGAAGGTAGGAGAGGAGGGAGCTGGGCTGCGATTGGGCAGGAGCGATCCTCTGCAGAGAAGAGGGAGGAACGGGTGGCTTATAAGAATTCTGAAAGTTTCTCTCTGCAGCAGTGGCACATCTGCCCTCGATTGCAGGCCAACCTTTCTCCAGATGTTTCCAAGCATTCCCGCTACACAACAAAACATCCATAGGAGCTAGACACACTTTAACAATGGAGGTTAGGCAGATATTGATTTTTGAGGGAGAGAGAAAGGTGACCTCCTATGGGCCGTTCAAGGACAGAGCTTTTATTTCACAAAAAAAGCCATTAGGCCAGCCAGTAGTTATGCAGGTCATGGGAATCCAAGCTTCCTTTCATGGCCTACCCTTGCACCTATTTTGGAAGCAGCATGTCACAAGGAAGGCCGACACGGAAAGGTAACAGCACCACCATTTCCCCTTGGTGGCTCAACGGACTGTCTTAAGGCACCTTCTCATCTTGGCCAATGGGGCAGCTCCAGGGCTGGGAAGGGGGATCCATCTGTGACAGAAGGAGCGGGCAGTCCATCCAGGCAGCGCAACAGGCACGTGGCCCCACTGGGATTCAAAGAAACAACGCGTCCGCTGGATCCAGAGGACTGCCAAGGCAGCTCTGTCTGACACAATAAGGACTAGTGACTCCTACTTCACCAATGTCCTTTAAAAATCCCTAAACTGCCTTTCTTGCCAAAGATGAGGTGGCCATGTGTCCTACTTACAGAGGACAGTATTGTGTTCGAAGGGCTCTCAGTTGGTCCCAGTGCGTTTTAAAGAGAAAGAACCATATGCAGGGAGAGCATAAGCAACTTTTGGGGTGGTCATAAACAGAGAGCTTCTGGATGGTCACCTGGACAAGGCACCTGCTCACAGTCTGCCCTATTATGGTATTACTGTATGTCCATTTCAATTGTAGGAATTATTTCTGAAACTGAATGTAGCTACAGATGCAGATATATAGATATAGATATAAAAATTCAGCACCATGTCCTCTTTTGTTCCTTATTGGCAATGCATAAGGGGCTGCTGTAGAAACCCAAAATAGGTAACAAGGCACGAAGTTGGAAAATACTCTAAAAATACAATAGGTATTAAGTGATGGTAACAGTTACAATAAATCCAACATCCAAACAACAGAAGACAAGCAGAATCCAACCAACAGAGGCAGAAGCAATGACCGGACATTGAAAGCAGCTGCTACCTGTCAGCAAAGGCTGTCCATGACAGCTGTGTTTTAACCAGGCAGCCAAAACCCAGCGCTGATGGATCCAGGCAGGCCTCCTTGCGGGTGGCCATTCCAGAGCATGGGAGCCACAATGAAAAAGGCCCTGCCTCATGTCACTGTCTTCTGAACATCTACCAGAGGGGGAACACAGAGCTGAGGCTTAGCTGCGCAGCAGAGCCCGTGAGAGGTGGGGGTCCTTACACAGCAATCCCTGGGGGCCTGGTTCAGCCAGGGCACCACAGTTCAGATTAGCAAATACTTAGGAAAAAATTAAACCACTTGCATCAAAGATGATATGCAGTTTATCGAATAAAATGATAACATATGGATGCCGAATATAAACAAGCCAAGCAAGCAAGCAAGCTTACCCTCCCCTTATCTGAACCTGTCCTGGTTCCATGGATAGGCCAGCGGCTCCCAAACTGCCTGGCCAAGTGACGAGCCGACTCCTTTCCCCAAGCAAGAGCAGAAGACACCGCCTATTGGCATAGATTTTGCAAGCTCTTCTCTTTCCCTGTTCTAGAGACTGTCGGCACATACAGGCTGTAGCCCCTCCTTCCTGGGAGGCAGCGGAGAGGCTCCAGCCACACAAAAAGTTTGGTTCTCGCCCCCAAAGTGGCTCTTATCTTACTATTTGGGGAAGCTGCTTCGAGGCAATTATCTCTGGTGCTCTTCCTAACAAGCTGCAGGCCAACAGGGCCTGGCGTGGTCCCAAAAATAATCCGGGCTTACTTCGCCCTTCATCCGATGACCTCAGGGTGGCATCCGTGCAACAGTGCTGGCCCAACACATCTCTGCTGCATGCCCCGTCCCCTGCGGCTGCAGCCCGGCTGCATCACGCCCCTCGGTGGTCAAGCGATTCTGACACTGAGCCAGGAAGCCTCCCAAGTGCTTCCCTGTTCCAGCAAGAAAAACAACAATTGAAATGACTTAAATGACCAACCATTTCTTGCCCTTCCATGAATCCTAAACCTGATGCCTGAAGGTAGGAGTCACCTTCCCTCCCAAGCCCTTTGGTCCATAAAACAGTCCTGCGAGGTAGGTCACACTGAGCCACAGTGACTGACCCAGGGCTGAGTTAAGCATGCTGTGCCATGCTGGACTCACCGGGGCCGGCAAACAGACAGGCGACCCAGGAGAAACAAGGCCACAGCAGAGAGGTGCTCCTTCCTTCCAGTCCACGTTCTGGTTGCAACACTGGGGCCTCCCAGGTCCTTTTCCCCCAGGAAAGCACTTTACAGTAGCCCAATCTGGGATGCTCTAAGACAGTCTTCCGAGCAGCAAGCCTCCCGTTTGCTTCTAGAGGAAAAGCTCCACAGCTGCCCAACCAATCTACTTTGAAGCAGAGGGAGAATGAGAAGCAGAAATGAGAGGAAGCTTCGAACTGACACTCCTCTTCCACTCCTGTTTTAAGAGATGGTGATGGAAGAGGTGATAGGAAATATCCCCTGCAGCTTCTTAGCAAGGCAGTCCCTTTCCCACAAGTGCATTTGGAAAAGCCATCATGAGAAAACACTCCGATGATTTTTGATTCAGCTCAAAGTTGCAGAGGAAACACCAAATTAATGACCAGAGGTTTCCCTGGTGCCCCAGGGCTTTGCTGCCAGCTTCCTGCAGCTTGTGTGTCCCTCTGTGACATCAAAGGCAGATGGGACGCTTTCCTATCGGGGAAGCGGGAAAATTAGCCAACACCAGCAAGCAGTCTGGGCCCACGGTGACATGGGAGCCGCTGAGCCAATGGAGTCCAGAGAAGCATTCAGGGAGACTGATGGCAGCAGGAAAAAAGCAGGGCCATCCGGAAGGCTGTTCAGTGGAGCCATGGCCCATTGACTGAGTCCCTGAGCTAGAATAAGCAGCCAATAGCCATTCTCACCCTAAGAGTAAGCAGGATGGGAAGCCTTCTTAACCGACTCTTCAGCTCTACAACTATCCAAGGCAAAAAGGTATGTTCTTGAAATCTGCTTGCAGTTTCAAATTGTCCATTCAATGTTGGTGATTACCACCACACAAGGTATGTGTCGATAGCTTCCTTTCTTTGCAATAAACACACACAGACGGACACCACCTCCTCCTACAGGCACACACCACCTTCTCTAAGGATTTTGCAGCTCTCCTATTAATCAAGGAGACATGTCAGTCAGTGCAGGGCTGTGCATTTCCCCAAGGAAGAAGAAAGGGGGAAATGGAAAAAAACAAAGAAATAAGACAATATGTCAAATTCTGGCAGGCTAACAACTTCAGTGCTAGACTCTAGTGCATAACAATTTATGAACCGTCTGTGCCCAGTCAAGGTCACACTGCATATACATATTTTAAAACCAACATATTTGAATATAGCTCATAAAGCCTTTACAAAAGAATTTCATTTGCCTACTCAGAAGTAAGTCTTATTGAGTTCAATAGGTTTTGCTCCCAGGTAAGAAGGTATAGAATTACAGCTTTAAGAAATGAAGAACCATAGCTGGTCTTTTTCTGTTTATCATGTTTGATTAGCCCCTGAGAAGACAGAAGTCTTTGATTTTTGTCTGGCCCACATCCTGGGAAAGTAGCCATGAATTCCTGAAAATAGAGAGCTGAGGTGCTTACCTTCAATCTGTCTATTTCTGTCCTGAGGAGGCAGTCATGGCACGTATGATTCATGCATCCACCACGTTTAAGCTGATTTGGAGGGGGAGTAAAATCCATTTATACTGGGATTGCCCCGGCATAAATGCCTGCAGTCCACACCCATTTTCTCCTCATGAAATCAAGTCCCTCAGCATGAAATTGCAAGATGTCCCTGAGTTCTCTGTTGCTGAGTTTTCCTATGTTGCTGCAGGCTGTCCACCTGACGGGAACAATGGTGGACCAGAGCTGCTTGCTCAAGAGGGAGAGGCAGGCCTCTCTGTATGGGCACAGAGACCAGGTGGGCCCTTGGCTGCCTTATGGGCTCCCTCCTACATCAGCTCACCTGGTGGCAGGAGCAGGTGGCTGGGAGGCTGTCCTTTCAAATTCCACAGGATGCCCCTGAAGGGTGCTTACCTCAGGTGCTCCAGGGGATTTGGGGATCTGAAATGGTTGCTCGTAGCCACCCAAAGGCTGGGTGCCCAGGGCAGGGGTCAGCACCGCGGGGCCTGGCTGCCTGCCCATGAAACATAACAGGTAGGGTAGGTTTGCATTGATAGTAGAGTCACTAATAAACATGTCAGGGGCAAAAGCATGTGATACATAGATAGGTAGATAAATGGCCTGACTTTAGTTCCTCTGTCAGTGTGAACAGCACTAAGCGTTTCTTATGAGATTTACTGAAGGAGACTGATTTTTCATGAAAACATGGCATCTCTAATGTCATGATACAACATACAGAGGTGTATGTTGGCCAGTAATGCCTTGCTAAAAAGAGGACACACACCTTCGTAAAGAAGGACAAAAGAGACAACTGCATTAAATTTGAAAATATAAATATAGATGCAAACTATATCTTCAATGCATGTAATTTAAATAGAAATATCTCATCACAGGGAAACACTAGAACCAGGTAATCTGCGTGCCTGCTACTCACTTTGTTGTCCAGAGGCTAATTTTTCATGGGCAATTTCAAAGCTTCAGCTGGTTAAATATTTTTATATAGGCTTTATATTTCATAGCTTCATAGCTTCGACAACACTTTATCAAGAGGACTGAACTCTGTAAAGTAGGTCACCTGCCACCCTTAACACAGGAAGCAGCTGTTCCTTTTGTTTTTTAACATTCTCACAAATTAGTTCAATCCATTCTTCATCAATCATCATCGCTGGCTTATTAAAGAAAATTCTATAAGTATATTGGTATTATGAATGTCATAAACCAGAGAGACAGAGAGAGAGAGAGAGAAAGAGAGAGAGAGAGAGAGTAGCGGGGTGAGGGGAGATTTGGGAATCCCTTTGGAATTCATTTGTTGTCTACAAGGAAAGGTTCCATTAAAACAATCAAGATAATTGTGTTTCTAATGTAAGATTTTAGGACATCAAATATACAGAGGCGTTAAGCTCTTCACTGTACGCATTCTCAAATATCCGTTGACTTCATGAAAGGAAAAGCCAAGAATCCAGGAAAATCAGGATGGAGGAGATAAGTTTGGGGAAGAACTGGCCATTTTTAAAAATGACCATTTATGTGGGGCAAATGGGATGGAAAGTGTTAATTTCCAGGCCAGTCCTCACCCACAGAAGCATTATTCTGGTAGCTTTAATCGTATTAGTCATTGCTATGCTAATCGTATTATTAACCTAATTCTTTCCACATTTTTGAAGAAATGGAAATGGAATCATGTATGATCTATAGATTACATGCTTTTTAATTGTGCTCTGGCTCTGCGCCAACCACATTTGAACCACCATCCTGTACACACATATCCAGAATAATAAACTCCGTTCCTTGCAACTGTCTCCCAAGCAGTGTCCTCCCTCATTCCCAGACTTTTCCAGGAGGTCCAGACATGAGAGCCCTCCTCACATGACCTCTGTCCCATCCTACCACTTCTGCCATGTTTCTTACCATTTTTCTTGGTAAAACACATTCCTCAGCAGTGTTGTGCAAGAGGCGAACAGGCGTGCAGCCCTGGCACTAGCTTACGAGCAGGGTGCTGAGGTCCTACGCTACCCTCTTCCAACTCCCCTGTTCCCTTTAGCTTAATTGCTATTCCCACAATGACTGAGGGGGACAAATGAATTTTCCCAGCAATAATAGAGGGACCATCAAGTCATGTTGGAAGCCGCCCCGAGACTTATGCGAATGGGGCAGCATACAAGAATTCCAAACAAACAAATAAAATCTCTTTCATAGGGCACTCCAAAGAGGACCCTCCAAAATATCCTGTCCTTGATCCTGCCCAGCTCTTTGAGACTCAAGGCTGTGTCTGCCTTTGTGGAATCAATGCATCTCCGAGGCAGTCATCCTCCTCTTTTGCCTTCGACTTTCCATAGCATGATTGATTTCTACAGTGAGTTTTGCCTTCTCATGGTATGCCCAACATGCCACAGCTTCGGTTTCATAGTTTTGGTTATCAGAGCAATTTCAGGCTTGATTTGTTTGTCTTTCTGCCAGTCTGGGATATTTGCAAAGCTCTCCTCCAACACCATGTTTTGAATGCATCAGTTTTCTTCCTGTCATCTTCCTTCACTGCCCAGCTTTCACAGCCTTACAGAGTAATTGGGAATACAATAGTGTGAATGATCTTGGCCTTGGTGTCGAGGAAACATCCTTACAATTGATGACCTGTTTTAATTCCTTCGTTGCTGCCCTCCAAGTTTCTTCTTTTAATTTCTTGGCTGCAGTCTCTGTTTGAATTGATGACTGAGCCAAGGTATGCAATATCTTTCAGAGTCATTTTCTGCACTGTTGACATTAAAGTTGTGTAATTATTCAATATACAGTATATTGTATATTGTAATGGAAAGTATTTTGGAGTGGCTTCTTCCTGAACTGCAAGGAATTAAGGGCCATTAGCTTGACAAAAGTCTCT